ACAGGACTAATTTCCCTCCGGACCAGATCTGCACCCTACTGAACCTTTGTCTTTCCACAACCTATTTCTAGTTTAAGGATACCTTTTACAGGTTGTGCCATGGGATCTCCCGTGTCACCAATTGTAGCCAATCTTTACATGGAAGAAATGGAAAAGAGAGCTTTGGACACTTTCCAAGGAACACCAGCAAACCATTGATTAAGATATAAGATACATGTGGATGACACATTTGTCAAAATCCAGCTGAAAAAATGCTTTCACAAGACGCATCAACTCGTTTGACCACAACATCAAATTCACCAGAGAGAATGCCAACGACAACAAGCTACCTTTTCTGGACTGTTTGGTGAGCATGAAGGAGATGGAAGCCTAAACATTGAAGTGTATAGGAAACCTACTCACACAGACAAATATCTTCTCTTTGACTCACACCACCCACTGGAACACAAACTTTCAGTCATCAGAACCTTACAACACTGGGCTGAGCATGTCCCCACTAAAACAGAAGGGAAGCACAAAGAACAGAACACATCAAAGATGCTCTTCAAAACACTGGATACCCAAACTGGGCGTTTGTCAAATCAGCAAGGAAATCTAAAAGACATGCAGCAGAAGATAACGGTGAGAAGATTAAACACAAAGACATTACCATCCCATATGTTGCTGGAGTCTCTGAAAAACTCAAGAGGATTTTGTCCAAACACAAAATCCCAGTACATTTCAAACCAAGCAAGACCTTAAAACGGAGACTAGTGCATCCTAAACATCGTTCGTCTGGTTCAATTTGCTTGTTTTTCTAAGCCAAAACAAGGCTTTGTCTTTGGTCCACTCTATAAAGCCTCAAACTCAACGCCATTTCTGAAATTTTGAATTGAAAAAGCTTCCTGGATGGGAAGCGACATATCCTCAAACTTGGAAACAAAGTCCAGTGGATTTTTTTTTACTTTTTTAGAAGGAAATCCCAGAAAATAAAACATCAAGACTTTTAGACTTTTCAAATTTCTGAACAAAAGATAAAAAAACAAAAACAAACTGTAAACCATGCAAATGTATGATACTTTAAAAGTAAAACGCTAAGTGCATTGATGAACTAAGGTAACCAGTTATAAGTCAGCGTTTTTGATGAGTCAGTTGGTGCAAGAAGCTTCAGTAGATCAGCGTTGCTAGTGAGCAACATGGATGAACCTTTTTTTCCTTGACACAATGAGCAATTCACAGTAGCAATTGACCTTTTACCTGAGTGAGAGTTCCCATGTCAGGATGCTATGATTAAATCTGCTGTTTTCCTCCGTTACCTTGCATATATCCTCTTAGTCTGTGAATAATCAATGCATGCCAATCATCTGCCCATATTAATGCTCCACAGCCCAACCTTACGACCGTTTACACATCACCAGGGGCGTTGCTAGGGACAAAGCTTTACTGGGGCACTGGCCCCCTAGTGCATATGCCCCTCCTTCCATACACAAATACAGACAAGCACACTGCCCCACCCTGATAAATTCCTACCAAAATTACCAGTTGAGATATTAATGATTGTAAGAGCATATTTGTTTTAACAAACATGAACATTTTCAACATTGCAGCTATAAAAAATAAGACAGTTTCCTTATACACATTCTGAAGTAATCATTAATTTCTAGGTTTCAGAGTTTTAGTTCGGGGGAAATTTTACCTCATCCTGAGCTAAGTTTTCCTTTTAATTTTTTGAGCATTAAAGTGTACCTCCTATTTTTCATTTTTGCAAAGCGGTCAATCACTAGACTGTGACTCAGCTTAGAAAGTTCTTCCTTTTCAACTGATAAAATAGCAAGATGATGGAGCCTGTCTTGTCCCATTGTGCACCTCAGCAGAGTGTGGAGCCTTCTCAACTCACTGAATGACCTTTCACAACTCCAGCTGTTGACTGGGATTGTGAGGGAGATCTGGATGACCTGCGTTAGTGTTGGGAACATGGTGTTATAAAGCAAGTTGAAAACACATTGCATATCCTTGATGACAAGGCTTTCTTTTTCAACCAGGAACAGTTTTTAAACCATTTTTAATTAAATGAACGTTTTTTTTACTCCAAATTTGTGCTGGGGATAGTGGGACAACTTCACTTGTCTAGGACCATCATGCTTTCCCCCTAAGTCACTAATGTCCCCTTCTTGTTTGTGGACGCTGGTTGTTGCTTCCTTATCACCTTTATGGTCCTGTCTCTCCTGTCCTTCACCTGTCTCTTGCCTGTCAGTCACCTGTCTCTCCTGTCTCTCTCCTGTCTCTCCTGTCTCTCCTGTCTCCTGCCTGTCAGTCTCGCCTCCTCCTCCTCCCTTTCCTACTCCAGCACCTTCATTCTCT